CCCTCTGATTTCCAGACCCCAAATCCTTGCATCATCCTCATCCATGCTCCCCTTCGAAGGTCACCAACATCTATTTCCTTCAGGAGACCTACTGGCTTTGCTGCCTATCTCTCAACTGCCTTTCTTTATTCTTACTGCTCTCATTCTAGCCCTGTCTACCATCAGCTTTCCCCTGGAAAATACTCTGTTGCTTCTCTCTGCTTTCACTCTGTACTCCTCCAAATGCGGAGGAAAGGGTGCTCAATTACAATGTAAACCAACTGACCTCTTTTGGTAACTGACAAGCCTGAAGTGATTTTCCTAATTCTTTAACATCCAATCTCTGACATTTGCATTCTATGTCCCAGCCTTGTTGGTATTTTGGTTCCTTGAAGAGGCAGTCTTGTTTCCTACCCAGGGGGCTTTGCAAATGCTATTTCCCCAGCTACAATGCTCTCTGCACTTCCTTGCCCAGCTAATACCAATTCTTTTTTTTTTTATAAAGTTTTTTTGTTTGTTTGTTTTTTAAAGATTTTATTTATTTATTTGAGAGACAGACAGCATGAGAGGGAGGAGGGTCAGAGGGAGAAGCAGACTCCCTGCTGAGCAGGGAGCCCGATGCGGGACTTGATCCCGGGACTCCAGGACCATGACCTGAGCCGAAGGCAGTCGCTTAACCAACTGAGCCACCCAGGTGCCCCAATACCAACTAATTCTTGCCTAGCCAGTACCAGCTAATTCTTTACAATTCAGCTCAAATCTAGATAAAATGTCATTTCCTCAGGGAATCAGTAATGTGTGTCTCTCTCCCCATATGCACCAAGAAGGCAAGACATATGTCTATTTTATTCACTGCTTTATATGTAGCATTTTGTAGGAACACAGAGAATATTTGTTGGCTAAATCAGTGCATGAGTCAAAGTGAATGAACGTGGTTAATGCTTCTATGGCGGGGGGGGCGGGGGCGGCTAGAGAATGCAGGGTCTTTAAATCTATATTCAGATCAAGTGCTGTCGTAGATTAAAATATATGATTGGACTCATTTGCAGGTTTATGTAAATTTTGCATGAGAAAGAGTTCCTTGTGAAAAACAATGTTGAGAATCATCAATTTAGACCATAAATAAATGCACTTATGAATCTATATTCCTAGAGCTGTCAGAACTGCAAAATGCTTAGTATTATAAGACAGGTTTTGGGGCACCTGGGTGACTCAGTCGTTAAGCGTCTGCCTTCGGCTCAGGTCATGATCCCAGAGTCCTGGGATCGAGCCCCGCATCGGGCTCCCTGCTCAGCAGGAAGCCTGCTTCTCCCTCTCCCACTCGCCCTTAGTGAATAATTAGCAGCAATCAAGAGGAGCTTAAACATGCCATAAAGGTAAAGTTCCCGTCAAGAATAATTTTCTTTGTAGGAAATAGATGTTTTGAGGCAGGTGGAAGGCACACACCAGTGCAGAGGAGATCTGAGAACCACCTCCCTGGGACATATCTCTCCAGCAATCTCCTGGACCAGCCCCCTCACCGAGTGCAAGCGATGCTCACTACCTTTTGCAGACCATCCTGCCACTGAGGCCTGATTATGCTACTAGCTGAGTTTCTCACAACTGAACTTCTAAACGTTGACTGATGTTTGCAGTCAGGCCTACTTTTTTTCTCTTTTTACCCAATAGGTGTTGTCGGTGAGATAACACCAACAATAATTTCACGTGGAGAAATAACATGATCCTTTTAGTGGGGCTTTAAGAAATACCAATCTCATCTTTAGGGGATTCCGCAAAATCAAGGAGATCTTAAAAAATAACGCTTACACGATGGAGCCAATCAATACCTCAGTTCTAAATGGTACAGATTTAGTGATCTATATAGAGATGTAGAGGCCTTATAAGAATTATCCAGGGAATTTCGACCAATTAGAGCACATCCATAGGCCCTGAAATGGCAAACCTTAGAAGCTCCTTAAATACAAAGATGAAGGCACAATGTACTTAAGGGGAAGAAATCTAATAAAGAGACAACAGTGTTAACACAAATAGACATTTAAACTTGTTAGTTCAACTACAAAGCTTTGCCTGGGGAATAATTCAGAGTTTACCTCTGAGTGATAGGACACCTAATTAAAATGATACTTGAAAGTATCTGAAGTTGAAACTTCAGAAATCTTCAGATATTATTTTTTATGTTTTTGCAAACAGTATAAAGGGTGTAACAAAGACCTTTGCCAGGATATATGTATGTAGTTGGCTATTTTGAGGAATAAAGGTTACATTTATCAATTTTTCTAGAATTTGGATCAGTGGTTTTAGACATTTTTTTCATCAAGGTATTCCCCTTTTCTAAGTGATAATCAATATTAAGGAACATGGGTTATGCATTCATTTGGATTTAGTATTAATTGAACTAGAAAAGTTCAAACTAATCTCTCCTAGTTAACTTATATCCATGTATACATAATAACTAAGTTCTAGTCTATCAAATTTTGGCTCAACTCACAATATTCTAAGCCACTTAGATGGAAGTAGTCATTTTATTGCCCTTCTTTGCTCTTTAATCATAAGTGAACTTTTTTTTTTTTTTTTTTAAGTAGGCTCCATGCACAACATGGAGCCCAAGACTGGGCTTGAACTCACGACCCTAAGATCATGACCTGAGCTGACTTTTACAGAAACTCAGTGCAGGGTCTTTAAGTCTATATTCAGGTCAAGCGGCTATAGATTAAAACACATGAATGGACTCATTTGAGTCACCCAGGAACCCCTGAACTTTCTTTTAAGTAAATGTTACCATTTTTACAAAAATGGTATTTATGGATATTTTCCAGGCTAGGTTAAATTTTAGGATATGCTGCCAAAGTGAGAGTAGTTTGTGTACATCAGAGTAAATACTTCCTGCCCAGGAAGTTTTACATAATCGATATGCAGTCATTATCTATGAATCAAGCAATTTATCAAATGCACTAGGATATACTTCCAGTGATTACTTCTACCAACAATATCATTTACAGTCCTTTATAATTTACACAGTATTTCTACATACTGCCATCAATTACATCACAGAAATACCCTATTAAAGGTAAGATAAGGACACTGAGAGGCAGTGTTAACTCATGACCCAGATCACTTGGCTGGAAATGACAGAGGCAGAAACAGAACCCAAGGTTCCTACCCCGTGTCCAGGATCGTATTTGTCATACTGATTCTCTTCCAGTGAGAAGTATCCTCACCCTTCCTATCTTGTAATTGTCTGATTTCAACCTCAGCGTATTTATTTTCCTTGTTACTTTTGGTTGAGGCATGAGCAAGTGAGCCCACAAATGCCCAGAATTCATGAGATGCACACACAGCTCTCTTTATAAAGCCAGTGGGACACCAAGAAGGAGACAGCTGATTCAAGTCACTTTCCCATCACCGCCCACCTTTAAGCCTGTGACTGGACTCAACTTTGGGCAGATAGGAGTTATACAGAAACTTTCATTATAAGAATCTAAAATTTAGCAGGAAGCAGAAACAGACCAAAGAATGCTTTAGCTTAAAAGACCTCTGACTTTTTCTAGTAACTGAAGAAGTATTTAGATGGTTGCTCATGTAGATTTTAGATGAATTTTGAATATTACCACCAGTTATATATACAAAATGTATATAATGTGATATCTATATGTATATGAAATGACCCAAGACAATCTTAACTGTATATATACACCTAAGAAAAAACATGCTAACATAAATTATGAGTTTTTATACAGCATATGTTCCTCTAGGGATAAAGTCCAATAATAACAAAGGGAGTTTTATAATTTTTAAAACTGGTAAGGATTTTAAATGGTCCCCTCTCCCATCTCAGTAGGATTAGTGCGAATACCAGAAACTAAAGTCTAAACTTAGCATTAATGTGTATTTTAATCTATTGTAGAAAACCAGAAAATTAATATCTATCATCCACAGTACCGGCAATCCCCATCATTGCGTGGAGTTTGGTGTTAAAACTGGCTCATGCAATTGTCTAGGCAAATCTCTGCAAAGGCTCTGCTACCGTCTGACCTCAGGACATACATCTGTGTCCCTCCAAATAGCAGAGGGAACAAAAGCAAATATATAGAAAAGAAATTGTGAATATATTTAGACTGCTTTAAAATAATAGAATTTTATCAGCCGAAATGAACTGTGGTACTTTTTAAGTGCTAGACCAAATTTTTAATCTTCCTAGAGTCTCAAGACAAAAGCACTTTTATTATTATTATTATTTGCTTTTGAGGTTACTACAAAACCAACCAAATTCTGTCCCTGAGCTATCTAGGTACTGATAAATTTTTGTCAGTTTAATCCTTCAGGTGTCCTGTGTGATATCAATACTGAATTGCTTTTCCTTAAATTCGCTCATTGGAAAAAAGAAGGCAGGATTCTAAAGATTACAATTTTTTAAAATAACCTAGAATTTTTTTCAGCAAAAGCCAATCTCAAATAATTTCTAATCTTTGTCAAAAAGATGAAAGCTTTGTTTTAAAGTATTATTAGTAGATTAAATTGTATTTTGTTATACAAAAATGATACTTTATGGGATACATACTATCTCACATCATTCTGATATCTTTGTGCCACACCAGCTCAATGTAAATCAACAATGTATTTGCACCAGAAAATGTTTCCAGCCTTATTACTTTCTGTACAATTTCACAAACAACTACTGAACACAACAACCACCATTCATTCAGAAGTATTTTCAATGGGAGAAATAATGTGTTTGGATTCAATTATTTATATTGGATTTTAAATTTACCATTTTCCCTTGTTGAGTTGATCTTCCTCCCAAAATTATGATTTCGTGTTTAAGAAGATACATACTAAGTAAGCATAGTATTTAATCATTACCTCGAAATTTCTGTTTTTTTTTTTCCTTCTTAAGGAATTAGTTTCTTCCTGTCAGAATGTTGGGCTTTTTAAGTTCAATAAAATATTTAATCTTGTTTTTCTTCAAAATCATTTTCTTTAAATCAAGACTAAGGCCAAAGGAAAAAAAAAATGTCACTTACTTTGCTTTAGCTTCTGCATCCTCATATGCTTTATTGGAAACATCATCCAGTCCTCCAATCAAATGCTTGAAAGAGCTGTGGGGAAAAACACAGTCATCAGGGTAAATCCTCTACCAAGTTGTAGCAATAACAACCTAGTCAATAGTACATTGAAACTATCTAAAAGGAACTAAAAAAAAATGAATTCAAACATTCAATCTAGATACATTAGTAAGAAACACATCAGATAATGATATAAACTCTGAGAGCAGGGACCTCTCCCATCTTGTTCACCTCTATAGTTCCCAACACCTAGAACTGTATCTGGAAAAAGCAGATATTCAAAGAACGGATGGAATAAAGTCTGTGACACACAAAATGATATACATCACAAAGTTAATGGGTCAGTTCTACTGGGAAATAACAACAAGATCCACCAATTACGGAATGCCTCCTGTATGCACTATCCTTTTAATGATCATGAACATATATTAATTCCAATTCTCCAACACACTGTAAAAGACAAGCATCACTATCGTCACTTAACAAAACTATAAGCTAATCTTAAAAGGCAAAATACATATGCGGAAGATAGGAAAAGAACAGAAGACAATTATAGGGAAGTCAACTCATTTTGGAGGGATCAAGAAACTGACTTCAGCATTAACTGGGAAGAGTAATGCAACTGTTTAAACCACTCTACTCAATATCCTAGTACGGACCTAGGACTGTGTTCAGACCTACTTTATATAATAAAGTCTCATCTATTGTATACCTATAATATAAAATATTATAGGGTCAGCACAAAATGAATACACACAGACATGACAATTACCCTTGAAAATTACTGAATGCAACCAGATACAGTAACTCTTGTGCACACTACATTTTGGCAACCACTAAACTAGACTGAACAGAGGAATGAGAGGAATGTCTATATTCAAAGTGTTCACGTAATAATCAGGGCCATCACTTACACAGCGCCCATATGCTGGGTACTGTTCTATGTGCTTTACATGTAGTAACAAATACTTCAACAGGTACAGCAATCCTGTGAGTCAGTCTTACCTCCACCGCATGGAAGAGGGTACTGAGGCACCAGAGGTTAAGAAACTGACCTCAAGTCATACAGCCTGGTGGTATGAAGGCCAATAGGGAAGGAGGCCATCATTCTCCCTCATACCCATCAAGCCTACACCACGGCTCCTATCCAAATCATGATGCCTTGACGCTAACTATCAAATCCCTAGTAATGCCCAGCATGTGGATGGAGAATGGTCAAGTGCTTTAAGAAATTACATTACATTTTAATTTTGAGTCTCTATAATCTTAATGAATGAAAATGGCTTTGTGTATTGTGTTAAACAAAATATGCCTGTTTTCAAGTCCTGAAACATTGGGTATCTGTTGATGTAAAATTAAATGTTGCTTAACCACTATAACGTGCACTGTTTTTTGTTGTTGTTGTTGTTGTTGTTTGTTTTTTTGTTTGTTTGTTTTAAATATATGAAGAGGAACTTGACACTTGCTTGCGGGCCCAGCTGGAAGGAGGTGGGAGAGCCATTACCTTAGGCCCTTGGGTAATGATCTCATCTGCGGGACAGGGTAACTGGAATGCTGAGATAAAACACGAAGTGTTTCTAATACAAAAAGGGACCAGAAGGAAGTGTTGGGAGGCTAGGGAATCAAGCAAATAGAGTGTCAAGTTTTCTGTGGCGCATTGCATTCATGGACATCAAATGAATGAAGCCTGCAGTTGGCAGGCGGACCTTATACAACTTTCAAAAAAAATACAATGATAAAATAAATGATTAAATAATCCCCATAGTAGAGATTAATGTTCAAATAGGATTTTTGCCATTGTTCTTTAAATGGCAAAATTCCCCACCTTCCCAGAGAATGCCTCCATCATGACTTAGAGATGGGTTTACACTGTAAAGTGAAATAAGTATTTATTTTACTGTGGGAAAAAATAGTATCTGGTTGATTTTCTGTTTTCACAGATAATATAAAATTTAAGCCCATAGAGTCTGTTACTTGTCCAGGATGACTCCAATTCTGTACTATACCCACGACCATAATCCATGTTTCCTTATCCCCCGTCCTGTCCCCCATAATACTTACATGTTTTTAATCTAACCAAATCCAGAATCTTGTGAAAAGGCATTGATAGGAACCAAAGAGCATAAGGTAGTAAAACTGAAGAACAACACCCACTACAACAACTTTTCAAGTACATTCAGATTGGGATCTTAAATGTTTAACACTCATAGTCATTTTAAGTTCAAATAGTTAAAAAAAATCTTCCTCCTAATATCTATTTGACCTAAATATGTCTTAAGCAGGATAGGATATTATTTAGATTTAGAAGGTGAGTGGATGACAAATGTGATAAGTATGAAGGCTTTTTAACTTAAGAAAATCTGTCCATCCCACTAGGCTTGGTTAAAACGATGTGGATCACTTTTTGAAAAGACAGTTTGAAATTCCTTTTTTTTTCTTAATTTAAACTCAATTAGCCAACACATAGTACATCATTAGTCTCAGATGGAGAGTTCAATAATTCATCAGTTGCATATAACACGCAGGGCTCATTCCATCACGTGTCCTCCTTACTGCCCATCACCCAGTTACCCTGCCTACCTCCCCACCTGCAACCCTCAGTTTGTTTCCTAGAGTGAAGAGTCTCTCTCATGGTTTGTCTCCCTCTCTGATGACTTTCCATTCAATTTTCCCTCCCTTCCCCTATGGTCCTCTGCACTGTTTCTTATATTCCACATGTGAGTGAAACCATATGATAATTGTCTTTCTTTGCTTGATGTATCTCACTTAGCATAATACCCTCTAGTTCTATCCATGTCAATGTAAATGGTAAGTATCCATTCTGATGGCTGAGTAATATTCCATTGTGTATATTATATATATACACACACCTCATCTTCTTTATCCATTCATCTGTCAAAGGACATCTGGGCTCTTTCCATAGTTTGGCTATTGTGGACATGCTGCTATGAACATTGGGGTGCATGTGCCCCTTCTTTTCACTACATCTGTATCTTTGGAGTAAATACCTAGTAGTGCAATTGCTGGGTTGTAGGGTAGCTCTATTTTCAACTTCTTGTGGAACCTCCATAATGTTTTCCAGAGTGGCTGTACCACCTTGCATTCCTACCAACAGTGTAAAAGGATTCCCCTTTCTCTGCATCCTCGCCAACACTTCTTGTTTCCTGTCTTGTTAATTTTAGCCATTCTGACTGGCGTGAGGTGGTATCTCACTGTGGTTTTAATTTGGATTTCCCTGATGCCAAATGATGTGGTGCACTTTTTTACATGTCTGTTGGCCATTTGGATGTCTTCTTTGCAGAAATGCGTGCTCATGTCTTCTGCCCATTTCTTCACTGGATTATTTGTCTTTTGGGTGTTGAGTTTGATAAGTTTTTTTTTTAAATTTTATTTTATTCTGTTATGTTAATCACCATACATTACATCATTAGTTTTTGATGTAGTGTTCCATGATTCCTTGTATGCATATTACACCCAGTGTTCCATTCAATACATGCCCTCTTTAATACCCATCACCAGGCTA